CAACCTTCTGGAGAAGCTCCCTAGCCCCTGCACAGGGACCTGGACAGTGAAACCAAAGCCTCAGCTCCGTGTCCCAGCAAGATGCACCACGCCAGGGATTCAGTGTTACTCCTCTTCCTGACAAGAGGCAGCTTTATTCAATTTAAGCTATTGGTCTCAAGCTTAAGAAACAGGAGACCACTCAAAAGAGCTTTACAGGAAATAATTTTGTAAACCCATGTCTTTAAAAGAATCTAGACATTTCAGCTGCCCAAACCAGGATACTATAACCAACCTCAACTGTAGATGCTGCTGAGCACTTCTCAGTCAACAATCCCCTTTATGGCAGTCTCGAAATTCATTAGCCACTTTTTGAAAAAAGTTCCACAAGTCCGAACATGCCCCAAGAACATGGTAATCAAACTCTTCCAGAAAAATACACTGGTGATTAACTAACAGCCTGTTCCTAAATGGGATGACTTCACTGTGCAGAGAGCTCATTGCAATTGCAGCGAGGCAGGGGGGGGGGTGTTGAGGGGCAGGGGATGAGAAAAAGATAGAATTATAAAAGTTTGCTTTTGTATTAGTGAAGTACTGTAACACCAATCTTCCCTCTTCCTCTCCAGGTATGGTAGCTAATTTAAGATTATAATAACAGATACTCACGATGGCAGAACATAACGATTAAACGCAATGTGAGCAAAGGTCATAGCAATAAACAAATGAATATTTTGTTTGTGATTTTAATTAATTTTAAAAACAGACTGCATAACACAAACACTGAGATTAAAGCCCATCCTTACTCTCTTTTATGGGGTAAAAACCAGCATCTGCTGTTTTTCAGCTGGACTGCCAGAGACACTGCCCACTCACACCACCTTCATATGCTCGCCATACGCTATGGGTATTAAGGACCATTTGCAAGGTGCACAGCTGAGCAGCCAGAGCACCACGAGCGAGAGGGTCACAGGCCCTGGCATCAGCAGAGAAGATGACTCACTCCGCAACCTTGGCCAACTCCCCTCAGCTGGTCAAACTGTTCGTCAGCTGAAAACAGAACCGCACCATGAAACAGATGCTCTGGCTGAGTTTCGCTCCCCTCGGCAGACTGTCACAGGCTTACCAGCAGGTCGGCCACAGCGAGAGGGACAGGTTTAGAGTCACATTCCCTGGGCCCACCTTACCAGACAGCTTGAAACCTAAAGGACTCCACTATCAAACATCCTCCCATCCCGCCGAAACTACTTGACAGGAAAGGAAAAAAAAACAAACAAAAAAACCCCACACACAGGCACAAAAGAAAAAGAGGCAGCAACATGCCTGTGACCAAGTTAGTTAGTTTTGCCACTGGCCCATGCAGCAGTCCCTCCAAAGTGTTTTCAAAGCTATCCTCTTCCCCTTATTTTCCTGCTTGCTTTCTTTTTTCTCCTTTCATTCACCAGTATAAACTCACCTCCATCTTCTCATTTTCCCTACCATGGCATCATTAACTCTCTCTCACACACTAGCTGTTGTACTTGTGTCTGCATCCCGGTATGGCAAAAGGCAGCTTTGTAACTTCACCTGTACCTCCGGGCTGCCTCTCAAGGTGATCGGCTCCACTTCCCAAGGGGCAGCAAGCACTGGACCAGCAACATGGGCCAGCAGGTCCAGAGGCAGGTAAATCGGACATAAACCACCAAACTCACAGGTTTTGGGATGGAGGGGGGGCAGGGAAGGAAGGGTGGACATGAGGCAGAGAAGAGGTGCAGCACCATCTAAAGCCAATGCAGACCCTGTCCAATCTTAACTGATCAGCTGCGATATCACACAGACCGGGAAGGATAGGATATTGCAGTAGCCCTTATGAGTCCTGCTTTGCTGATGTACCAAGCATAGGAAATACAGGGTCTACATGTATCAAAACGACTATACAGGCACAACTGGCTTACTTCTGAGTAGGGACCTTTAGCAGGAACTGCTGCTAACAGAGTGCTTTGAGAACAGGTCATTTATTTGGATGTCTACATAAAGTTTCCTGTGTTTTCTAAATATGGTTCTGTCTTTCTGTACACAACAAATAAACCTCACACAAAAAGGAAAAAAAAAATCCAGAGAATCTTACACCCGTGACACGGACAGCATGAGTATCAGTGGTCAGACAGCAATCTGCAGACCTATCAGTCTCACAAGCAGTGATAACAGAACTCTTGAGTAGTTGTTATAAATAACCAAAATAATGAAAGCAATGAGCGGGAGGCGTACTAAGCCTTTACTTATAAGGAGGGCTTGAAATAAGCCTTGCAAAGAATCGGCCTGGCTCACAGCCTTGCCTGCCAAGCACAGAATCATTTAAGGCAGGCCAATATTTAGGAATTCCAGTTGAAGCATGCTCCGAGGAGATGGTGTTCATTCTTCTTTTCTTAAAGTACTTGCAGCACAGCACACGGATGAGAAAGCAAACAAGTTCTTCTTTAAGTGCTACCGGGTGAATCCAGAAATGAAGCAAGATGGGGTTAAAGAAGCTGTGGAGATGTCAGAGAATTCCGTAGGCCTGTGAAACAACATCTTAAGACCCCTGCTAAGTAATCCTAGAGATAATGATAAAACTAATCTTACCTTTAAAGTTGCCAATGAACAAGCCAGGCAGAATCTGTGAGAAAGAAATATAGTATCAAATATAGATATCTTGTGGTAACACAATTTGACAAAGTTCAATTTGCATACAGGATGGAACATACTACTTTAGCAGACTACTGTCAAATGCAATCTAAAAAGCGCTGACAACATTTTTGTGCCTCTTTGCAACCTTCTCAAACTACACAGCGCTAGGTATGCTGCGCTTTGAGAGCATTCGTTAACAGCCGGGGCTTGTTAATCATGCCGACTCTCACGTAATGGAGGCTCTCTAAGGGCAGCAAAAGTGGTTTACAAGTACGAAGTGGGCCTCGCAACACACCCCCCTGCCCCCCCGGCCGCAGGATAAGAGTTACCCTCATTTAACTCATGATGAAACTTCATACAGAAAAGGTGATTTGCCTAAAGTCGCTCAGTAAGCTGGACAAAGCACTGCAAAACAACATCCTTCGAGTCTTTTGAAGTGCAAAGCCATGCAAGTCGGGGCTGCAGCGCTGCGGGGCTCTTCCACAGAGGAAATCCCTGCAAATAACGAGGGGTGTATTCACATAGACAGAGAACTGACGAAACTCTAGGAGTTGTAGGTTTCTCTCCCAGATCTACCCACTCGCCCCAACACTCCCAGAAGCCTGCACAGGTCTCGGTTACAGGACTTGCTTTAACTGGGGAGTCTCAAGGTCAGCCTGAGGACCAGGCTGTACAGCCTGAGGACACACGGACACGTGTGACCCTGCAGTGCTACCCCTCCCACCCTCTCACAACCCTCCCAACTTGGGAACAGCACTAAGGTCATGAAAAACCCCCAGGCACACCAAATACACGTTTTTCTGGCCAAGAATTTTGTTCTCTGCCACCTGAAGTCTCTGACCCACACCCACATCCTTTGAAGAGACCAGAACTGTGGCGGTGAAACCGTCCGATCCATTTTTTTCTTCGGTGCACGCAGTGCATACCACCAATACAGATATGTCAGCGCTGACTTCCTAAAGCCTTAGCAACACCCAAGTGTCACCACAACAGCAGTAACAGTCTCTGGGGCACAGCTATTTAGAGGGAAAACTCCACCCATTTCGCTCGGTCCGGCAGCCGCGAAGTTCCGAAAGTCATGAAGGACTTTTCATCAGGGATTATCGCCCCAGACTCTGTTTCACTGCAGCCTTTTTAAGGCGACCCAGCTTACCACGCAAAGGTTAGCAGCCTGGCGCAAGGGCCTGCAAAATAGCTTCTGGCCTGCCTTAACTCCAGGGCTTTCATCCGATAAAAACGTCGCGTTCCCTGTTATTTATCTAGCCTTGCAGAAAACAGAAAGGCTGCAGCACTTCTCACATCCCTTGCAGCTTCGGTTTGTGCAAACATTCCCACTCTGAGCTTTGCTGGGCGATCTCTCTCGGTCCCTGCCGTATCACACCAGCTGTGACCACGGGGCTCAATCCTGCCACTGGTACTGGAAAACCGCTTCTCTGCCGACCCTTGCTGTACCCTGAACTGCTGACACATTAAGGGCTGCTTGACAACACCAGCTACACAACAAAATGGTTCTTTCGTCTGGTACAAACAGGCACCTGTAAGTTTTGCACAGATAAGCTCAGACAGCTTTCTCCCCTCTCCTTCCCTCTTCGTTTGTACAAACGCGACATTTCTACGGAGACAGCAAAAATCAGCAGGGCAGTCTCCAATGCTGGGGTAATCAAGTAGGGAAAAGAAACCTTACAACATTCTGCTGTCCCTTTCCGCATGCACAAGACTCACGGTTTCATGGACTGATTCATTATCTTAAGCCCCCTTGATGACTCTGCCAGAAGCGCAGCCCAAAGGCTGCACCCAGGAATCAGAAGGAATCGGGAATCACCCAGGAATCAGAAGCCAGCAGCTGCTCCAGAGAGCAGAGTACCCAAGGGCCATTGCTAAGGGCCAAATTCTGCAAACTAAAAACATGCTCTAAAGCAAAAGACAGTCAAGTTATGAATTAATTTCACCAACCAGATCACCCCAGCCAGCTCCCTCAACTTAAGCTTAAAAAAATTTAAAAATGAAGAAAAGCCTTGCTGATATTTTTAAATAGCTGTCTGGTATTTCCTATCTGCAGCACAAATCTCAAATCACACCACCACTACTGTGGACTATAGCATTTTAGACTCCAGGACATTATTTCTGCATCAAATACATGCTCTCGAGAGAGGATAAAAGCTTAAATTGCAGTCACAGTCATTAAGGTTAGACATTATAAATTAAAGATACCAAGAAACACTTGAGGGGTTGCAAAAATGAGTCGTCTTAGATTCTTGCTGGCAAAGGAGGAAAAATCCAGAAGTTTGCATTTGTGCATCATGAAGCAACACTGTATGCTAGATAGGAAATTAGGACACCGTGCAAGCAGGGACAGATGTTACCCCTGTTGTCCTAGTCATTCTAGAAGCAAGAAACATTACTATGGGTGAAAGCTACCTGGAAAGAAGTGAATCTTCATGTCGTGCTGACTAATACTTCGGCACTAGACTACGGCTGGGAACTTTCAGCTGTGTCATCTCACACTGCCTTCAGTAACTGCAACTCCGGGCCGCACAAAACGAAGGCCGATGGCTGCAAGGGGCGTGTGAGAGAGAAGGGGTGGGAGTCAGAAGAGAAGAAAAATAAGGTGGTTGTTTTTGTGAACTTTTCAACTACTGCTTTATGAACAAAAACAGTAGCCTCTCTATATCATCCGAAACATTGAGAAAATGACCGCGGACTAAATAACAGATGTAGAAGAACGCACGACCAAGAGACACGGACACCAACACGTCTTCGTTCGTGCCTCGCATGAGAACAGCTCACGTTCTCCACCTTGCACAAAGGCAGAGCCCTGCAAAGCATGACAGTTGCTCCAGTTGCTAATGCTCCTCATCAGTCCTCTCTGAAAATACACCTCTCCAGAAAATGACTTAAAGGGCTACTTTGCTCTGTTTCCTATATAGACACATGCTTATAATAAAGCACCTAACTCCTTGCCCAACACTGCTTCGAAATGCGCCAGTACTGATGGGTGCTCTGGAGAAGTTCATCAGGCTTTCTGCAGAGATGGCCAGGCGCTGTCGAAGAAGCAGATGAGCCCACCTTGTCCAGCAGTAGAGGAGAGCGGCAGGGGTCAGGGAGAGGGATTTGCCGCTGACATGAACGGGCACAGCTTCCTTGGCTTCCATAGAACTGGTTGCATCAGCTCTAAGTATCCACGCTGATTTACATTTCTTATGAATCAACTCCAAAACCAAACAGGGCTTATCTGCCCCGTTTGTAGAGATGACATTCAACCCTTCAGAAGAGTCGGCATGAATAACGGGCAGTTAACTGTAACGGCACCAACAAGAACTAAAACCTAGGAAAAACTCTTCGCTAAGCATATCTTGTTCACAGATAATCAAATCTAAGTACTGTAATCTCTTGTCACCATCTCAGCCGCTAGACTTTAGCTCCTGGAAAACATCTTTGTAATTTTCAACCACAGACTTCAACTTGAACTTTGAATACAAGCCAAAGTTAGACATTACGCATGAAGACAAATCGGGCCACCCAGATAATTTCCTAAGTCAGACTCCATTACTCATCCTGTACTTAAAAGATGTAAAAAAAGAAAAAAAAGTAAAGAACTAAAAATTAATAGTAGCTAAGTCAGTGCATACTCACTACCCAATTCTCCTTCTCTGAGCAGAATAAGAAGGGTATTTATGAACCAATGCTTTCAGTTTAATTTGGGAAAAGTCAGGAGGCTTGTGTGGGTTTAAGGAAAAAAACTAAGCACAGCTAATTTTACAGAGAAAATTAGCAACAAAAGACAAACTCCACCTAAAAAGAATGCCAGGCCTCCAGCCCTTGATCAGCCCTAATAGCCATATTAAGTCAGGTGCAGTTGCTATTTGCTACGAAATACATCAATATCATGTGACAGAAAAATAGGAGGGGACGGTGCCACTGAGAAAGGCTCAGCATCCAAGGGCAGCCACAGCAGCTGTAGCAGTCTCTGGAGCTTTTCCTTACCGTACGCATTACAGGTCACCACTAATCCTCTTCCACTGGCATCAGTACAAAGAGATTCCCTAAATGAAATAATCCACCATTGGATAAGCTGCTTATTTTCTCCTACCATCCGCATATAGCTCTACCACAAAAAACACACTTCAGTTGGAAACTAAGGCAATTTGTATTGATAGACTACACTGAGTCAAGCAAACACCCCCCTACCATTGGCATCGACGACTCCGTGCCTCCCCGTGCCCTTCCGGCGTTCGCTGGCTCGCAAGATCAAAAGGAACAGATGATCCAGGGGCACATTCTGAAAGTGGCAAGTACCAGACCTGCATGCGGGACCCCTACAAAAATAAACCCTGATGGCCAGTACCCAACGTGGTTGTAGCCTCCTTAAAGGAGCCAACTCCTCCCGAACTGCTGAACATTTCATCCTCTTGGATAAAGCCGTAAGAAGGGAAGAGAAAAATCATAGTAGTGCTACCCTCGTCCTGAAAGCTCCGGTTGGTACGTGTCAGGGCAACACTTAACAGAATTAAAATGATCAAATTGCCCAGAGTCACAGATTGCCAATTCCTGCCCGCACGGTACCATAGCAAGATGTAACACAGACAAAGAGTGCTAAGCTTCAAAGAGTTGAGAATTGTCCCGGTTTGGTTTTGGTTTCCCCCCCCCCCCCAGATTGCAACTTTAGCATCCCATATCCTGTCCCTCTAAATGTTTTGATAATTTCAAACATTTCCAGAAAAATACTACAAACATACCAGAAGTCTAAAAGAAGTCTCTCCAGCTGTGTTTCTTCCTAACTGGCCACTCCTAGAAGGTGCCACAACATTATCCCCAGACTTTGAAACCAAAAATGGAGACAAGGACCAAAGGAGGTTCTACCTCCTACCCATGAACTCGGTCGGACTAACCAGTCAGATCTCTCCCCTGCCTAAACCTTCTATTTCAATGTCTCTATCCATAGGATGAAAAGGCTTCATGTCCCAAGTGGCACGCTCTGGACCTTCACCAATT